CCACTGAGATGATCAGGCTTTATGTGATATCTGTGGCAGCTCTCAGCCTCCTGATGGGAAGTGGGCATGAGAGAACCCGCCAAGAGGGCTGCTCAGTGTCAGGGCCTGGCTGGGTGTCCAAGAGGCCTCCCCCCAGAGCTCCAGCCTCCCCCTGTGGGTGCCTGTACCCCTCAAGAGGGCCCCCACCCCTCTGCTGCTGTCATCTCCAATGAGCCAATAGTCCAGAAACCTGCCTCTGTTCGTGTTAAAGAAACTGTTAAAGAACTTCTGATTAAGTGATCCTTTTTATCAGAGGCCCTACTGCCCCTGTCCTCTGGATAGCACAAGCTGACCTCATCAGACCCCCCTGGACTGTCTGGGGCCTTTCCACTCTAGGGATACCCTGTCTTCGCCAAAGCCCCATATACTGGGCTCCCTCCTGCTTCTCCAGGCTTGGTCCCTACCCAGCACTCACCTCTTCTAACCTGCTTCTTTCCGTCCACCTGGGCCTCAGCTGCCTGTCAGAAATGCGTATAAGTACGAGGTACTTGGTCGTAACAAGCCTTGGACAGTGAGTGGAGACTGCAGGCTGTAGGGTGCAGCTAACAGGCGGGTGCTTGACCAGGGCAACCAGCTGCCCCTGCACTCTGTGCCTTGGTTTCCTGTCAGTCAAACGCTAGCTGGACTAAAGCCCTCCTGTCTGGGAAGGGGTTTAATAGCATCCAGTCGTGCTGGCCAGGACCCAGGGAGGAGAGGTCACCAGAGGTCACGCTGCCTCCTGATGAGAGGTCAGGGTTCAGATCCAGCTCTGTCTGCTGAACCCCCAGAATGACTGGGTCCCTCTGACCCTGAGCCCCCTAGAGTATGGCTCCATCAGGGAGAGCAGGGCTGTCCCTACCGCCTATCTGTCCCCACCATGGCCTGAGCTGCCCGCGGCCCAGCGGTGGGAAAGTCTGAATCTGTTGCTATTTTCTCTCTGTTATCAGGGCCTTATCTGGCCACTGTGCCACCCAGAGGCCAGGGTCTCTCTCCTGGCAGCACTGAGCCCCCACCTGTCCACTGGCTGCCCAGAGCCAGCAAGACAGGAGGCCAGGCCTTGTGCCAGGCTTCTGCCTGGACTGCTCTCCCCAGCCCCCAGCCCCTCAGCACCCCAGCCCTTGTCACCTCCATCTCCACCTCTAGAGGGCCCGGTGGCACTTCCATGGAGAACTGAAATAATAACGATTGTAATAATAACTACAAGTCTGTGCTCAGCACCTACTGGCACCATCTTGTCTGAACCCTGACCCCAGCCCATGACAGGAGGTTACTGTCATACCAGGCTGTCAGCAAGGAAACCAGACTCAGGGAGGCAGGACCTACACAAAGTCACCAGCCTCAACATCCTGCTGTTCCTTCTGCCTGGAATGCTTTTCCTTGACCCCATTTGCAGGCAACCTCCTTTGGTCCCCTTCTAGGTCACCACTCATTTGTTGCCTCCTCCCAGAAGCCTTCCCTGACTGGCACCTCCATCCCTTCTTTGTGGCAAAGGCCACACCTGCATTTTTCGTATTTCTTTCTTGGGGGTACATCTTAGTTGCTGCAAGGTCTCCAATGCTTGTGGGTTCTGGCACTTGGTGGACTCAAAAGTGAGTGAAGAACTGAGCTAGTGAATTGATGAGTAAGTGAATGAAAGAACAAGGACTAAAAATGAGCCATCAGATCCCAGGCTTCGCCTGGTGACCCTCTCCCAGCTCTGAATTTCTCCAGGCAGCCCAGGATATTGGTGAGAGAGGAGCGGGGCACATAACCCTGCAGGGACCACCTGCCCCCCAAGCCAGTGAGCCTGCATTTAAAACCCCACTCGGACACAGGAAGGGGGTACCTGGCAGATGCCTGTCCCTGTTTCCTCCCCTGTAAGTTGGGACTACAGAGGACGTTCCCAGAGAGGCATAAATGGCCCATGCAATAGGCAGGCATAGGGCAAGAGCCAATGCAGGTGGGGGCTCACTGGACCTTGCCCTTGTTCTTTCACATTTCCAATGGCCTGGTTGGGGGATGGTCAGAGTTGCCCCCATTCAACAAGGTGTAGTCTGGGGGGTGGAGGGGGTGGCAGCCAGTGCTTTAAGCCATCTCCAGCTGCACCCCCCTGGAAGGTCGACCTGGGAGCTGAAGTCCGGAGGGACTTTATTCTCTCCTCGGCTACCAGCTTTTGCTTTCTTCAAGGCAGTTATTCAGAAGGACCCCTCAGTTGCCTTGCTATCAAAGCCAGGAGTGCGTTAATCATTGCTGCTCCGGGAATTGGAAAGAGTTGGGATCATCCCACTGCACAGAGGCTGTCTCTGTAATTCAGTTTTAAAGCATGAAAAAAGGGAGTTGATGAAATTCCACTATCAGTGCTGAGCCAATATGCAAAATATCTCACCCCCAATCAAATAGCTATTATGTTTTCATTCCATTTCGGCATCAGCTTAATGAGCAGGAGACTGATCGGAGCGCTGGCGTCTGCTCACCGTGATAACCAAGGGTCTCTGGGCAGCGGGGGCCATGCCCAGGGCTGCCCTGGCTGGCGGTGGCTGGCAGTGACCACTGACATCGTCCGTGTGCACCCCCCAAACAGGTGCTCAGCCTTGGGAATCGGCCTCTGGACCACACCAGGCAATGGGGTCAGCTTCGTCCCTGCTCTAGGTCATTTGCGGGTTGAGGAGGTGTGAGGCTGCACTCGCACAGAGAAGGGCCTTGGTCTGAGCCGGTATCTGGAAGGGTGGCTTCTTGGAGAAGACTCCTGCCCCCCCCCCCCCCCCCCGCATCACCACCACTGCTTCCTCGCCCAGGCCCATGAGCAGGTCAGTCCTCCTTGCTGGACCTCAGTTTACTCATCTGCAAAGTGGGAGTGACTCAGGTTTCCATTTTGGGAGGTGTTGGGAAGTGCATTTGCCCATCATGACTCTCATAATAGCCCTGCCTCCCCCTCCACCTGGTCCTGTCACCTTCCACTGTCCTCTCCCACCACTCCTCCATGTATGGTAGAAGTGTAACCCTCCTCCCCCCCCACACGGTCCCCATCATCGCTGTACCCCTGGCTACAGGGGGTTGGAGGGGTACAAAGGATATTTACAAAATGCTGAGCACAGGTAGTGCTTAATCATAGTGCAATCCCCCTCCCACCCTCCCACCATTTCCTGGGCCCTGCTGGGAGGTAGATGGTAGTAGCTAATGATGATGTGATAGTTGATGTTTGGGGCATATGTACTGTGTGCCAGCCTTGAGCTAAGTTCAAATACAGGTGTCACCACATTTCATCCTGTAAGGTAGGAGCTGTGCGATTACTGAGCACAGAAAACTAGAGTTCCTTGTCTGAGGTCACAAAGCAAGGACACTTCCCGCCTGGCTCAGCTGTTAGGTCTCTGGGCAGAGAGGGTCCCATAGGGGCTGGGCAGGCTCTGTCCTAGCCCAGGGCACCCAGGAAAGCATAGCATCTCAACAATCACCCTTGCCAACTGAGAAACCCTCCCCCGGAGCCCCAGGTGGAAACAGGTGTCATGGGCTTAAGCGGGAGCAGCGTGGCATGCTCTCTGCGCCCCGGGAGTGTGGGGCGGAATTCTCCCGAGCTGGTTGTGGGGTTGTAAGCGATTTGCTGGTTGGCAGTTGTCTCCTGCATTATCAGAGCCGTGTTAATTGTGCTGGAACTGAATTAGCGGCATTAGAATAAATTGCCTCTTTCTTCACGCTCATTGTCACGCCTTTGTGCAGAGTGGATGCAGAGCGGATGCCTTTGTTCTCCAGTAAATGGACCCAACGGGAGCTCAGGGCCTCCCTGGGTGGCGGAGGCCCACCTGAGTGAGGCATGGAGAGTAGGGGACCTCCCGGGGCCTGACAGGCATGAGGAGGGGAGTGTCAGTCCCACCCCAATGCTCTGGTCCCTGCCTTTTCTGAAAACAGGTAGCTTCTTACCCATTCTCCAAAACCGGCAACTGAGGCCCTGAAATCCCATGGCCCATTCAACAGGAGGGGCCACAGCCCTGAGGCAACCCCTCTAGCTCTGAATGAGCTTCAGAAGGCACCAGGGCTTCTAGAAAATGGCCAGCAAATGGGCTGACCTCAGGACTGTGTGCTGACCACAGTGATGGGCAGTGCCCACTCAGGGCCGACTCCATGGGAGAGGGATCAGAGGCTGGCCTCCACTGCACCCAGAGCTTCCCACCAAGGTGCGTGCCGAGGGAGGTTACTGCGGGTCAGGCCTCCCACCTGTCCCAGGGGCACAAGCCCGACCGGTCTGGGGTGTGCCCAGCCCAACACAGAGCCTGCTTGTGTGGGCGCATTGACGAGAGCACAGAGGCTTAGCCTGGGGCTGGTTCTGTGTGGTCTGATTAATTATAGCTCTGAGGTGTCCTGGGAGGTTAGAGCTAAGTCCAGGGGACTACCGTAGGGAAATGACCCTGCTGCCATGTGTGGACGCTGTGTGCCTCAGGGTTAGGATCTACCTCCCCTTACCCTCCATCGCTGTCTCCAGGCTAAGAGGAGGTCAGCCCTACTCTCCTCTTAGCCTTGACTCCCCACTCCTCCTTCCTATATCATATCGAGGCCTGTCCGGATTCCGGGCTTTTGCACAAGCCGCTTCCTTTGCCCTCAGCTGTCAGCCTCGCACCAACATCAACCCCTGAGATCTGCTGGTAGCATCTGTCTTTCTCATTTGACTCCCTCCCTCACACCACATTTATCATTTTCTGTTGTTTCGGTGTGGGGCCTGTCTATTGTTTGACTATCTCCCTGGCTGGCATGGAAGTCCCCAAAGACTCCAGAGGTCCCAGCACCTCTGCTTTCTAGAACAGTGTCTGCCCTCAGCTGTCCATGGAAGTTAGGAAAGGCATCTGCCCCGCCAGAAACAACTCGGTTTTCACTTCTGTGGCGGGCCATCACCCACCTGTAAGAGAGGTGCCCTGAAATGCAAAGAGAAAACCGGCTTTGCACCTCCCTGCTCCATGTAAATTGCTAGGTTTTGAAAGTAAGCCTGGGAACTCGGCCACCACATTTTATCATAGCCTCATGGGTCTCCCTGTCCTGCTGCCTTGAGCTAGTTTCCCTGGCCGTGTTGGACACTGGCTGGTTGCACAGTGTGACTTGATGGGCAGGCATCGGAAGCATCAGCAGGCCCTGCCTCCCTCCATCAGCTAATTACCCACCTTCCTTCACCCCCTGGAAAACCTTGGCAAAGCTGGAGAGTAAGGGCACCAAGGAGGACACGAGTAATTCGGTGAAAAACCCCTTAAGCTGGACAAATTGTTGTGGGGTCGAACCCTGGGTTCAAAATAAGACCATCAGAGGCTGAAGATTGATTAAAAAAGCAGGCAAGGATTTATTGAAAAACTGGCCAGGACTGCAGCAAGAGCACCACACGCAGGTGGACTCCACACAACTGCACCATTTCAGGTATAGGCAGTCCTTTTAAAGGCCTAAAGCACAAGAATTTTCCTTTGTTCTAAATTCCAAAGGCTGGAAACAGGGTCCATCCCAGTCACATCCTGCTGGACATTGGAATGTGGCCCTATCTTGTGATAGCCGATAACACAGAAGCAGAGCTCAGAGGTTATCTACAGTTTCTATCTCTGAAGGTTATCTACAGTTTCTATCTATGAAGGTTACTGAGTGAGTGGGAATCAATCTCCTGTGGTCCTGGTCCCAGGCAAGGGAAAATTGCCTTAGGTAAACATCCTGTGTTTAATCAGGTGCAGGAGCCAGACGAGAGGGGTTAAAATTCAAACCACAGTTTTTACCTGAGATGTATATTCTTAATGTCGTATTTCAAAATTTTAGTCCCTCTCTGTGTTTTTCTGGGGAGAAAGCACTGGATTTGATCGGATTCCCAGAGGGGTCATGACCTACAAAAGATCAGGAACCACCAGCCACTGAGGTGTGAATCCCAAGCAAGTCTCCCTCTACTGCTGCTTGCCTGCCTCTGGGGCGGGAGCTCGATGGCCCCTGAAAAGTGGTTATTCCATTCTCTTAGGTTTCCTTCTAGTGCTTTCTATTCCTGTCAAAACAAGCCCCATTCTTCTCCATCAAGAACCTCTGACATGTGAATTTGCAGATGTTGCCACAGCTTCTTGCTCATTTTCCTCATCAGCAGGAGGGTCTGGATGCTTCAGGCTCAATAGCTTGAGACCAAAAGCCCCCATTCCCTGCCCCCCATTCCATAGTTGGGGTTTGAGTCAGGATCCTCCCCCACACCACATCTGGATGATGAGTGTCACCTCCCTGGTGACTGGTGGGTGGGGCAGGGCAGGTGGCTGCAGAGGAAGATCTTGGGGAGGTACAGTAAGTCCTCAATGTCATTTATAGGTTCTGTGACTCTAAGTTCCTTGAGGTATAACAACCAAATTTGCCCTAGGCGAGGAGATATAACTGGAGTTAGGTTCCTTTAGTATCTCATCCATGTTGTTCAAGGACCTGTTGTAATTGGAGCAGAGGTGGCCCCACTCCGGTACCTGTCCTAGGGCCCAGGCTGAGACAGGGATAGAGGGCTTAGGCAGTCTGGTGAGCAGGAGGGGGAGGGGCACCTGTTCACCACTGTTCTCTCTGTTTTCTCTGCCCACTGTACGGCACCATCTGTCTGATCTCGGAGCAGAAGTTGCCAACCTGGCCTGCACTCAGGGGCTCTAGCGGGTCCAGCTTTGACACCCTCCCAGGGCTAGTCCGGGGTCAGGTCACCTGGACTCCCATCTGCCTTCTCACCTGTAATGTGGGCTCCATGGGGTCCCCCTTGTAAGAGCCTCTCTGGGAAGGGTGGGGATTGGTATTAGGGGGCCCTAGCCTCCAGAGGTTGACTGTGTTCACCTGTGCCCCACCAGCTGTTTATTTCTGGAATCGGCTTCTCTGAGACCTCCTGTGTGCTGGATGCTGGGGCTCACCCTCAAGAAGCTCCCATTCCTGGACCCTGAGTGCGGGCTGCTTCCCACAGGAGGGGTCAGGGTCAGAGGGAACAGTTCTGCGAGGCCCAGGAGCTGTTTACCCACAAGAGCTGTGGACGCACACTGGGGCTCTGCAAATCCCTCCAGAGTAGGGGTGTCGAACTCAATCAGAGAAGGGGCCAAAATCTAAAATCCAGCCTAAATCGCAGGCCGAATGGTTTACTGAACAGTCATAAACTGTCATTGTGATGGAAACGCAGCGGAGTGCAGTGATGACAGCGCGGTGCGGGCCACATTGCAAGGCCTGGCGGGACGGATTTGGCCCGCGGGCCTTGTGTTTGACACATGTGCTCCAGAGCATACCTGTGGGACGAGGAAGGGCCACAGCCATCAGGTAGCCTCCAAGAGCTCCCTAAGCCACAAGAGTGCCCATAGTTGCTACCATAATTTGGAGCAGAGGGGGGAGTCTGGGACGATCGTCCTGACAAGAGCAGTTCACTGGGCCAGTAGAGGCTGTAGGGCAGGTGAGATGTAACCGGAAGGCCAGTGACCCCTAGGTGCAGAGGTTGGGCTGATATGGTTAAGGTTCACACATCAAGTCACACTGATGGCTGCCCCCTCATGTCCTCTGACTCCATGGAGTGGCCAGGGCATACCATGAGGGAGCAGAGCCTCACGATTTCCCTTGGGCTGTGTCTGCAGGTTCCCTCGGAGACATGGAGGCTGGAGAGGAGGCTCAGGCCGCAGACATCGGCCTCCCAGAGCCGGAGGCTGCAGCACCTGAGCCCGAGGCCAAGGAGGAGCCCAAGCCCCTGAGCCCTTCCAGTCCAGGTGAGTTGGGCAGTGGGTATGGTGGGCTGGGGTCTGGCACTTGGAGCCACATCTTTTCACATTCTGGCCTGTGGCTTCGTGAGAGCCAGTCCCTTTGAGTTTCCACGCCTGTGAAGCAGTGTTGAACTTGGTGTATCTGGGCTAACTGTACCTGATAGAGCGAGGAGAAGCCAGGGTGGCTCCCAGATAAGGGCTTGATCCCAGGGGCTGGAGGGAACTGGGAGTAACCCATTCTATAGATGAGAGAATGGGGCCCTGAGAGGTTAATGAGTTGCTCAGGGTTGCACATCCTACGCACCTGATCAAGGACCTGACTCCCAAGTCTGGATTCACATTGATTCTCCCTGTCTCCCCACCTGCTCTCCACCCAACCTCAGGCACCGGAATCTCTTCTTGGGACCTCCTGATGGCAGTTTCCCCAGTGGAGGGTGGGACTCACCTCTTAAGCTGAGACTAAGTTTTGGAAGGAGAGGCAGCCCTCCTCCCAGGGGTGAATTAACCTGACACCAGGAGGCTGGCTCAGGATAGCTGTACCCCCAGACATCCCCAAGACCCCTAGGAGGAGGGGCCTCACTGAGCAGAGGTGTTGGGGGAAGTCAGCACCTGACCTGTTTTCTAGAAGAAACATCCTGGAAGGCTAGTAGTGGGAGGACGAGGGGGCGGGGCCATCTACTGTGAGCCCAGCTCCCTCTCCTCCACCTCCCTGGATCCTCCACCATGGCCCTGGGTACTCCCAGTCCCATTTCATACCATGAATGCACACCGAGGCTGAGTTACCCCCAGGCCGTATTCTGATGGAGGAAACAGCCACAAACTGGACCATTTGGGAGAGTGGTAAGTGGGTGGGCATTACTGGAGTGAAGAAGAGATAGGGAGGCAACATTGAACAGAGAAATAGAGTGTCAGACAGCAGGAGAGCTCTGCAGGGGAGGAGGGGGCAGCCAGAAGCTGAGGAGGGGCAGGAGGTGGGCAGATATCCCAGACAGACCTTTGTCTCTGACAGGGAGGTTCCGACTCATTGTGGACCCTCCGACCCCCAGCATTTCCCAGGCTCAGAACTCGAGGTCACCACAAGCTCAGGAACCCAGCAAGCCTGGTCCTCTGAGACCTGCTGGCCCCTGTGTCCCTTTCCCCAGTAGCAGGCCCATTGGAGTCACCAGGGCTAATCAGTGAGAGGAGGCGGGGCCAGCGGGAGTTGAGCCCAGGGCTGGGGCTCCCATCACCCTCAGCTCACTGGGGACTGAGTGGCCATGTGAAGGGATCAGGAGCCTGGGCTCTGGTACCAGTTCTGATTCATTGTTGTTATCTCTGCCACCATCATCATCATCTCACATTGCTTGATGGAACACCAGCCTTCCCTCCCACTGGTCCCCAGCCCATGCACCTGTCTTTTCTGAGCCGGTTTCTGAATCTGTAACTGGGCGTGAACCCCTTGGGGTGGCTGATGGGGCCGAGGGAGTGTGTGAGGGGCCCCTTTTCACCATCACGATTACTATTAGCTGCTGTGCACTAATGAGAGGCCTCGCAGGGGCCTTGATCTGCCAAAGGGCAAGTGACTGGTTACTTATGGACTTTGACCCAGTGGCTTTCCTAGGGTGCTGGGCCCCTTATCTGATCTGGGAGCTGGGGCTGCACGGGGGCGGGGTGGGGAAGGAGCTGGAAAAAACAGCCGGGGTTGCACCTGGCACTGGCTGTGGTGATAACTCGGTGATGGGCGAGATAAGGCAGCAGGAGCAATATCTGCCTCTCGGGCGGGCCCAGCCCAGCTCCCTCTCAGTGGCTGGAGCTCAAATGCCAGCCACGTTGATTTATAGCCAAAAATAATAGGACTTTTATACTGTGTGATTGATTTATTTGATGTTAATCATGGCCCTTATCTCGGGTATTAATAATCTGCTGGGCACGTGACGTCACGGAGGGGGGGGGCTTTTATGGGAGCTCATCGATTGGGGGCTGAGGTAGTTATCAGGCCAGCAGGGAAGGCAAATATGCCCTTTGGGCTGGAATTGGGTGCAGGGCCTGCTGGAGAGGCCCCCAGCTGCCTGTGGAGCAGACAGGGAAGGCGGAGCCCACATGTGTGCCCCTGGCCTGGGCGTGCCCAGTAGGGCATCCTGCACTCTAATTATTAACAGCAGCTGGAATAGCAATTATTATTGCTACAATTAATGAAGGGAATGAGGGGTTTTAAAGGCCAAGGGGAAAAACTGAGGTGCCTGATCCTCCCCAATTAGAGCAAGTCTAGGGGTGGGTGACCTTAGGCACATGCTTACCTGGGCCTTCGTGTCCTTCCTGGCCACCAAGGATAGGTCAAGAGGTCAGGCAACTTGGTACCCAGAGCTTGGTGGGGCCTGATGGTGTTTTCCTCTCTGCAGAAGCTAATCCCCTGCCCCCACCACCAACACCGCAACCCACATCCCCTGAAGGCTCCAAGGAGATGGAGGGGCAGGAGCCAGAGACGAGTCTGGAGGAGGAGTCCAGCAGCTCATGGAGTGGGCCAGGTAACCATGCCTGCGGTCATGTCCGGCAACATTGGGTGGCCCCCGACCCAGCCTTCTGGGAGCCCTGGAGCTGAGCGCTCTGGCGGCTCACGTGGGACAGGCCTGGCCTGCTGGCTGGAGAGGTTGGTGGCAACCCCCCGGGCCTAGGCCTGTTCCAAAGTCCAGCTTATCTATGGGGCCAGGGGTATCGCTGGAGGCTAGCACCGAGCTGTGCTGATGCTCAGAGCTGAATGCCAGGCCTGGCAGATCAAAGTGGACCCCTAGGAGGGGAAAGAGGAACAGTGTTGAAGGCAGGGAAAGACATCCCAGGAGTTGGAAACAGGCAGGGCAGAGGGGTTAGGGGAGGGCCTTCTGCCTGGGCTGGGAATTTAGAGCTGTACAGGTGCTCAGGCCTGGGCAGGGTAGCCTGCCCCCCCCCCCCTGCCCCAGAGGTGGCTGTGGGCACCCGGGAGGTGGGAGGTAGCTGCAAACTGCCTGGCCCTGGACCACAGGGAATGTCTTTGAGGTAGTTTTGGGCTGCCAATCACACGCCCTCCAATTTGCAACTGAAATTCTGACCTTGGAAGTCCAATCAAATGTGTTCTTTCTGCGCCCCCCCCCCCCCAACCCAGTTCCACTCATTTGTGAAGAGAAGGAAGAATGCCGGTTGTCTCCATGGTTCTTTGGTTCAGGGACACGGGGTGACGTGCGGGAGGACTTGGCGGGGCTGCATCTCCAGGCGCAGGTACAGCTTGCCATGGAGGGCTGATGGTGGGAGCTGGGGAGGAGGAGGCAGGGTGTGGTCCTCGGTGACTGGAAGGATGGAAGGGAGACTACTCATGCCAGGCACATGCGTGATGCAGCAAGCACTTATGGAACACCAGTTATGTGCCAGAGTCTGTTAGCACAGTCTTCAGGGAGCATGCACACACACAGGCATAATAATAAGCGAGGTTCATGACCGACCAGTGGGAAGAAGGTACATGGTGAGGGCCTCACCTTGAGGGGGGTCAGGGAAGTCTTCGCCGGAGCAGAGGGGCACCCAGTGGCCAAGAGGATTGTCCAAGGTGATCAGCTGCGAAGTGGCAGAGCTGGGTTTGGACCCACCAACTGGCTCCAGAGTCGGCTATGGGTTTGTGAGCTCCAGCTTGAGTGATCACCCAGGCGGTCCTGTCCACCCTGTAGGGTAATATCATCATCTCATTTCACATAGAAACATAAGCCCCTAGAGATCAGAACCTGACCCCAGGCCAGGGCTGGAGTACCCCAGGAGCTTCCTACACTATTTGCATCCTTGGGGGCCAGGGGACTCCCTATCAGCTCCCACAGATATGAAATGGGCAGCGATGGGCTGATAAGTGGCCACTGGCCAACCGCCGCGGTGGCTGCCCCCTATCAGACCCCAAGCAGCCACACTTATCGCCCGCCCAGGGAAGCCAGAGAGGCCCAGTGGGCTCTTATCTCACAGGGGCCACCCGTGCCAGCAATGGGGGTGGCAGGGCTTCATCGGGCCCAGCTGGGTTGGTGTCCCGGAGGGCACTGCCCAGCAGTGACCGCATGCAGGGTAGGGTGCCACCAGTGCCTGGTCACCTTCATTGGTGACCGATGTCCTGGTGCTCTTTGCACGTTTAAGACCCTCTCTCTTGTTCTCTGTCCCTCTGAGCCCCTCTGCCTGTCATGTGTGAGCATCTCTCTCTCTCCTGCCATGGGGAGGGTCAGGTTCCACAGGAGAGGAGGTGGGGATGGGAGCTGAGCCTTCAGCCCAGCTCAAAGGGAAGGGGGCAGGCTACAGGAAGAGGGAGAGCTCAGAAGTTTTATCTTTGAAATGACCTTGTTTGCTAGAGGGGCTGACTGTTTAAAATTCTGATATGCAAATAGCTACAAGCTGAAATCTATAATCCCCAAATCCTGGCTGGAAGGGCAGGTGCCACTGCCTTTGCTCCGCTGTCCCTGCGCTCTCTGCTCCTCAGGGTATGGCTCCACCCACCCCACGTCCCTCTCTGTGTCCTGTGCCCATCCCTACCACTACCCTCGCTCCCCTCCACCTCTCCACTTAACATCCGGAAAAAGCAGGTCAGACAGATAAGCACCCCCATTAGCACTGAGAGCCCTGAGGCTCCCATCTGTGTGGGGGTCCTAGGCCTGACACCCACCTCATGGTCCTGTCCAAGCTTCTGACTAATGGCAGTCAGCATGGCCTGGGCCTGCCTGGCAGATCACGAGGAGACTGATGAAGGCAGCTTCAGTGTTTGGGGTCCCCTCCCCTTGGTAGTCCTCTAGGGTTCCTTCCCACGGAGCAGCCTCTCTGCCAGCACTGACGTCCCACCCTCTCTGCCCAGCACTGAGGGGACTCCATAGAGCACAGTCTCTCTCCAGCTGCCTGTTTAGAGGAAGGGTGATCCAGATGCCTTGGGTGCTGAGCATAGGGTGGGTCACCGTGGGTGCTGTACTCACTGGGGAGCAGGAGAGGAACCAGGAGGCCTCTAGGGCTCCCCCCCCCCCCCAATCTGGGGACATCAAGTGATCATGAGGACAGCCCAGGCTTCACAGGCTTAGGGAGGAAGGCGGTGGCCAGGGGTACATTTCGTGGTCAAGGCACCCAGCCTGTGGCCTGCCTGTGTGGTCAGGGCCCCGGGAGCAGCGTCCCTTTCACCCATAAGGTCTCAGGGCCTGGAATTCTTTCCTGGTGACCACTGTTTACAAAATAAAGCCAATTGGGCAGAGCCTTGGGAGGGTGGGGACCAGGATACAAGGTGAGAGGACACTGACGGGTGAGAGGACTGTGGGCAGTGGGCAGCCTCCTGTGTGAGACTGATTGCTGGACCACAGCCTGGCTTTATCACAAGGGCACAGGCTGGCACTGGGTAGGAAGAAATTGAGCTGGAGCAGGAAGCGAGGGGGCGCAGAGCTGAGGACCACCTGCCACCACCCTTCACTCATCGACACTTTACAGCAACCTGCCCTGAGCCCCAGACGGGGTAACAAACAGTCCCCACAAGGGCCATAGTCTGTTGCCCCTGACTCCAGAGGTGAGTTGGTTCTGCTCCCCCAAATCCAGGGCTTTTGGTGGGGGAGTAGAGCTGAGACTGAGATGGACTTTCCTGTGCCTCAAAACCCCTGCCTGGGGCAGCCCAGTTTCAAAAGAGAGGGGCATGGAGTGGGGGTGAGGACCCACACCAGCCAAGAGAAGGAGTATGGAGCACAGCGTGGCCACGTGTGTGCTCAGGACCCGGTGAGAACCACTTTACCATTAGGGAAACTGAGGCCTGGCAGGATGCAGAGGCATGGCCAAGGTCATCCAGCTCTCAGTGGGCAGGGAGCTGGCATCTGAGAGGCTGCGCCTGTTTGGTAGGAAGTGTCTCTAGGCTTCGTTTCAGTGCCCTGCCTCCACCCCTCCATCCCTGGCTGTGTGATCAGGGTCCCAGGAGTGAGGTCCCCTTTACCCATCAATTCTCAGGACATGGAGCTCTCTCCTGGGGACCACTGTTTAAAAAACAAACCCAATGGCCCAAACATCCGTGTCACCTTCTTTGTCCCCAGCTCCATCCCCAGCCCTGGAGGGAATGATGGGTAGGCTGGCCATGTTCCCACACACTTGCAGGTCGGCAGAGGGAACAGCCAGGCGGTCAGGGCCAGGTCAGCACCTTACCCCTAACCCCCAAGCCTAAAGGACAAGTTGGAGTGGGGCGAGCGGTCCAGTGAGGAGCTAGCAGGAACAGGTCCTGAGGTTTAAAGTGTGGGTGTGGCTCAGGCATTAGAGGCCGGAGTGGGGGTGGGGAGAGGTAGGATGGGGCATGCATGGGCTCAATGCCACGGACTGTGGGGAGACGCCTCCATTTTCTTGGCTATAAAATGGGGGGCTGCAGGGTTTTAAGTGGGGCATTTGGTCAGCTGCCATATGGTGAATAGGTTGGAAGCGGCTGCTGTGAGGGGCTGGAGAAGGCGTCTGCCAGCCATTTCCTGCTGGGGTGGGGAGGTGGGGGGGGGGGGGATTGGAGCCTGGTTCTCCCGCCCGCAGGGATCCAGGGGGCCTGCTGGAAGCTGGGAAACCTCGCCCTGGAGGGTGAGTGAGGGCATAGTGCCGACTATCTGGGCTGCGCTCGGCTGACTAATCTTGTTGCCTGGAGTTTCTATGCAAACCTCAAGGTTTGTTATCGGGCAGTGGGCGGGCAGGCGGCTGAGGCAGGACGGCCTGTCCTGATGGACAGCCCAGGAGATGGGCCGATACTGCCCGCCACAGTCCCCTCCCGCCAGCCCTGCATGTGTGGGTGGGAAAAATCATTTCAGCTATTTTGCTTTATCACCGGGCCTGGCAGTGCAGCCTGATAGGCCTATTTGTCTTAGATTAACCGATAGGGGAGGGCCATGGAGGGGGATGATGGCTGATGTCAGGGGTCAAGCTGGAGTCAGCTCCAGAGACCAGATTCAGCGGCTGGGTCTTTCTGGATATCCCAGGGAAGGGGGTGCACACCAAGTGCCCCAGAGGCACGTGTTCCCCAGGATCACCCAGCGGGCTCCACATAGCCCTGACCTCCCACTTCATGGCTGAGCAAACTGAGACTCCGGAAATGGAGCAGACTCCCAGGGAGCAGTCTGAGTGTCCCCACGCTGGCCATTCTTTCTTCCCAGGTGTTTCCTGAGCACCTACAGGGCCAGGCGCGCTGCTGGTGCCAGCAGAGTCCATCGGACAGGGACAGCATGGGATCTACAACCCAGGAGTGGGCAAGGGAAGGGAAGGCAGTAGTTTGTTCATTCAACAAACACTTGTGTATTAAGCTCCTGCTTGGTGCTGACAGAGTCCAGGGGCCCAGGGAGCTGAAGATCTAGTCAGGGAGACAGAGACTAAACAATAAGGATGTAAAAATCTCATGTGTTCCAGGGGGTGAGGCTCTGGAATAAAACAAAGAAGGGGAGCAATTCTGAATCGGGTAGCCAGAGGAGGTGTTGCTGAGCCCGTGTTTGAGCAAAGACCAGAAGAGTGAGGGGAACCGGCTGCTGTCGGGGAACAGTGTACCAGGTGG